GAATGAGGAGGTCGTCGCCGCCCCAGAGGGCTATTTTGCAGACCTCGAGAAAACGTATTTTTCAGACGGGTTAAAGAAGTTGGATCATCGCTGGGTCAAGTGTATCGAGCTAAAAGGAGATTATGTTGAGAAATAAATCGCAACTTTTCCAAAATTTTCGTTTTTCTTTTGGAGGCTAAGTACTTATCGGACCACCCTCGTACATACTTGGTATAACACTGCCAAAATCAAATAATGTACCAAAAATTGGTTTAGTAGATATTAAAACTGCAAATTTTATAAAAAACTAGAGCACCCGGCGAACTTTGTCTCGCCCCAATTTCACGACTTCATATAACCCTAGAGTAATAATAAAACACTGGTAATTCAAATTTCATAAAAATTATTTGACTCGAAATCGGTGGAGAGCGATGTGATAAAGAATATTTTTTGTTTTGTTATCCGGTGCAAAAATAAATAATGATGACGGCTTTCCCAGAACTTCCTCTCATTCAAATTTGCCCTTAATAATCGTCGCATGAATCACGTTGTTCATCAGTTTTTTAACGGACAACTGCGTACCGTTGCAAAATCTCGGATGATTTAGATTCCGCAGCATTATAATAATTGATCCCACTTTCAGTTGCAAATTATGCGGCGGAGTTCCTGGCACATCCAGTGGGTTCAAAAATTCTGTCGGATAGTTGGTCGCTTCATCCTCGTCGGTCACGCTGTCAACGGATCTGTATGAATGTAGTTTTCCAGCGATTTGACTTTGAATAACCAATTCAAACTATCTACGTCCTAATTCTTCGCTGCTATAATTGCCCGTTCACTAATCCAATCGAGATTTTTATAATTTTGTGCAATGTCGGGAAACACTTTTGTGATGAGTTCCTCTTTCGACAATGTTAACTCGCAAAAATTTGCTGGGAACGATATTAGTCCAATCGAAACATCAACAGAAATTTCGCCATTGCCAAGCGCCAGCAGTTGTCTCGAGAATTCAGCAGTGGAGGGGTCATTCTGCAATGCGACTCTCATATTCGTGGACAATTTAAACTTCTTGACATATATATCGCCACAAAAAGGACGATTTTAGGCATGCATTAACTTCATCGGCAGCCGTAGATTTCGGGATGACGGGAAGCGTTTGACGAAAATCTCTGCACAGCAATATCAAAGCCCCACCAAATAGTTTCGAATCACCTCGTAAATCCTTCATCGTTCGGTCAACTGCCTCCAAAGCTCATTTATGCGCCATCGAGCATTCTGCTCTTTGCACAGCACACCATCCACAGTACGCAGGGACTCGAAGGATGTAGGGGCTCTAATGTTCTTCAAAAGCAAGAGAAGATAGAAGCATTCGTCTTGGCGTGGATGAACTGTGTATATTCGTCCGAGGGCATTAATCGAATAGACACCAGCGAATCCAGCAACAGCATAACCTTTCTTCCGGCGTTGAAACTTCTTCGATGAAGCGTTCCATGTATAATAGCGTGGCATCTCTGAATAGGGAAAAGTCCTTGCGAACGGATCGCTTTCGCATGTCGAAAAGAAATTTGTCAACGTTGTCGCTGGTGGTCGTTCTGCTCTTTGCGCTGCGTTCGCGTCCGTAAAGTAGACACGCTGGCGGATCAGCAATGCCAAACACCGCCATGTCGCTCCCTTTGTTCACATATTTGCAAACGTATTTGATGGATTTGATAGAGTTGCAGTACTCAACATTGCAATGCGTTGAGAACGTTTTCGACAAAAGCGGGCAATATGGAACGATCCAGCGGTTATCCACGATTACTGTTACGTTTGTTTCGTTACGTTTCACCATTGAAATAAGTTTATTTTGTTTGGTTCCAATTTGTATTTTTTTTATTTAGTAGGAGCAGCAAAGGTGCCGCTCCAACGATCAAAATGTCTCTGTTCTTTTACAATATTCTTTAAGTCTAATTAAGGCTAAGTCCCGTAGCTGCGCTGCTCGCAGGCGGCGGCAGAGAGACGGCTATGTACCTATATATTATATGTATTAAATTATGCTCTCTTAAGCTGGAGCGCGAGGGTATATGCATGCACTTGAGTTCGGCCGGCGCGTGTAACGGAATGCTGACACTTGCACTTTCTGTGAGCGCGCCGATCGACTCGTGTTCGGCCACTTGGGTTTTTTGACCGGGCCTTTATGAATGCACTGCAACAAAGTGTTACAGTGTGTTTACAGTAGATATTCAATATATGCGCATACTACATCTCCCTCCTTTTGAAAAATAACGTAATATATTATGAAGTTATTTTATTGGTATATTTTACTTAAGGGGGTCTTCTAGTCTAGAGGCTCGATTTTCGACCTTTTTTTAACAATTAATAAAAAAAAAGCAATAGATATTTTTACTATCCTTTTTTTATCATTTGTCTATTAAACTTAAAGGAGTACATAAAATAAATTTCAAAAAAAAAAAATTAGTTTTCATTGAGTTATTCCTTCTTGAAGAAGAGGGGAAAAAAAAGAGGCCGTGTCCGCGTCGCCATGATATCTATGCTTGTAGTTATCTGAAAAATAAAACAATGATATATTCTTAATGAGTACGAATGTCGCTATGGCATGAACCACCAAAAAAAAATATCTTTTTTTTTCATGAAATGGCGGCTACTCAAAGAAAAAAGTTGATTTTTTCACTAATTTTTCCACTTTGTCGAATTTTTAAAAATATTATAAATTTAAAATTTGTATTTTTTGTTGGTTCATGCGATAGCGATATATTTAAAGAATATTCATGCCAAATTCATGTAAATCGACTGATTAGAACTTGAGTTAGAGTGGCGACCGCATCAAAAAAAGTATTTTCGATAAAAACGCGTTTAAAGTTCCAGTCGTTCGCTCAACCGGTCTAGTTGCCACGTCACTAAAACGGCTATAACTTTGAAAATAATTTGAGTTTTGAAAAATCCTTTTATGGAGATATTTGTGAATGTAATAACTATCGAATTATGAAAAAAAAATTTTTTCGATTTTCTCAAATTTCTAGACTAGAAGACCCCCTTAAAGGAATAATAATAATTTTTTTTATTAACATTTTTTTTTTAAATTTTTTTTTTAATTTTTTTTTTTGATATAAAGAGAATGGAATTTATAATAGTATTCTTATTTATGAAAGAAGTATTTCTATGCATGGCCATGCTAAATGCAATTATGAAATAAACGTTTTTAATCTATCCTTATGAACTTTTTGTTTTTTGTTTTTGTTATTCATTATTATAATGTTATTTCTTTCTCCTATTTCCGTTACTTTATACGGACCTGTATATTTAGGATCTAACTTATGACCTGTCTCGTTTTTTAATAAAACTTGGTCACCTACTGATATATCTATATCCCTTACTTTATGATCGTATATTAGTTTATTTCTATTCTTTTTGCTTCTAACATAACTCTAGCTCTTTTATAGGCTACTTCTAATCTATACTTACTCTCCTTAGCATAGTCATCTATATTATATAGTGCTTCTAGATTGTCTATGCTATTAAAATGTTTCGGTAAATTACTTGTTTTACCGAATACTAGCTCATATGGACAATAAGTATGTGCCATAGAGGGGGTCGTGTTGAAACAAAAGACAAAATATTGAAGCCATACGTCCCAATCAGTTTTATCCACCGATATGTAAGATCTTATGTACTCATTGAAAGTTCTATGACTTCTTTCTATTGTTCCAACTGTCTGGTGGTGGTGTGCTGTGGATGTAATATTTTCAATATTTAAATATTTGCACAAATCGTCTATAATTGAATTCTTATATTCTGTTCCCATGTCCGTAATGAACGTCTTCATTGGACCGTACTTCAGGATAAAAGATTCAAATATTGCTTTAGCGACAGTATTAGCATTTTTATTCGGAACAGGTATGGCAACTAAATACTTAGTTAAATCACATATTAAAGTGACTGTATACTCATTGCCATTTTCTGATTTTGGTAGTGGACCAATTGTGTCCACTATCACTCTGTCGAAAGCATTTATTGGTGTGTCTGTAATTGTTAAAGGGGTCTTTGTGTGTTTAATTATTTTGGCTTTCTGGCATTTTTTACATTTTCTTACGTACTCAGTTATATCTTTAGACATACTTTTCCAGTAATAGTGTCTTTTTACTTTGGCCAAAGTTTTTGATATGCCAGTATGACCTCCTTGAATTGGATCATCATGAAATGTAGACAAAATTGCTTCTTTTTCTTTTAAATTTGTTATTTGGGTCACCGGGTTGAGTAGCGCTACTCTTAATGTTTTCAAGATTTTATTGCCCATTAATTTGAAATTATCTATTGAAGTATGTTCAAAGATATTTTCCCACGGTGCCACTTTGAGTTGGCTGATTTTATGTATACCGGCTTGCATTTCAAGCCTTTGGAAAAATTGATCTAAGTCAATAACTCCATTAGTATATAAATCGCTAACATCATATCTTGCAGTAATTTTTCTGCCTTGTTTAAATAAACATAACGTATTTTTTATCTGCAAGGTCACTACTTTACGTACTTCATCATTGTTTATGACGTCGTATACGTTGGGCTTGGAAGCTTTATTTAGAGATTGCATAGGCAATTCTTGTTCTTGATTTTCCGCGCGGAATTTTTGTCTACTTTGATATCTAGTAGTGACTTTCAATATATTTCCAGTTATATTTTGTAGATCTTTGATGGTTATCCTTGATAACGCATCAGCTACATAATTATCTTTTCCCTTTAAATATTCGACTGTAAAGTCGTATTCTTCTAGTTCGAGCCTCATACGTGTCAGTTTAGAACTGGGGTTGATCATTATCGAATCGATTTCATCCAACTACCGAGAGAACAACTAGCAATTTTTGTATCTTTTTTTATTTTTAATGGAATTATGTTATCGTTTACCTTACAAATTTTATATGCAAGATATATTTTCTCTCCAATTTCTCAAACGCATCGCTTATCTTAGCGAAACGTCTCAGAATCGAAAAAAATAAACACCTGAACGTACATCCTTCTTCTCTTTCCTTTTTCTCCTTTCCTGTTGGCTGTCCTCTTTGTTTATGGGTATTATAAAAGAAACGACTACTATAAACTTAAATTCATATGTATAAATACAGATTTGCTTATTTTCGCGTATTTTTGTTCTTTCGTGTGTATAATTTTAGTTGCAACCTCAACAGATCTTGTTTGTTGATGTTGTTGATGAGATGACAGATTGGGCTTTCTGTGCTATTAAGGGGGATTGTGGATGTTGATGTTGAATGTGGTGTTGCCACCAGTGTTTTTGTATTGTGGGATCTGGCTGGTTGTGTGTAACTTGGTGATGGATAATAGAGGTTGGGTGAGCAGTCTACTCGCTCTCATCATCATCGTCCTCGTCGGACTCATCCTTCTTGCTCTTCTTGGATGGTTTTTTCGCTGGTTTCGCGCGCTTTTTGGCTCCACCGTTGGCAGCACCGCCACCGCCGCCGTTGGCCTCGAACTCCTTGACAGCCCGATCGTAATCGTCCTTGGCCTTGGCAGCCTTGGCCTCCCACTCCGACTTGCCCTTCATTGCCCTCCATAATTCACCACCGCGCTTAGCAACCTCGGTGACTTTAATGCCGGGATTCTCCCGTTTGATCGACTCGCGGGCACTGTTGAGCCACAGCATGTAGGCGGAGAGTGGGCGTTTTGGTTTATCGGCCATTTTAGTTTGTGTTTGTTGATACTATTTAACAAGTGTTACAACTAGGTCTTTGTGCTTCGAGCTTTGTCGTTTAATTTTAAAAGAAAATTTAATTTAATTCCCCGTACAATTTGTTCCATTCCATGCCTTTAGTTTAGCCATACTTTGTAAGAAGAATATATTGAAATATTTTTATATTTATATATTTTTTTTTTATTTATTAGCTTGTTCATTCGTCTATAATTCCATTCCATTATATTATGGATATGAATTATTTCTTGAAAACTGTCATTACTATTGCTCTACCTAGTATTGGGTGCTCGTCTACTACCGATCCAACTTGTTCGCCTGGAATAGTGGATAATACCCCCCATCCCTTTTGGGTGCTTGTGCAATGTATTAGTGGAGAAGTATCTAAATTAAATGTTTCAATATATAAATTTTCTAAACCATAAATGCTCACTGAAGTTGCTGAAACTAATTGCAGAATTCTTTCTTTAAAGTGAATGTCCCTATCATACGTGTCTCTAATTGCCTTTAGTGTAGCCATTTTTATTTAATATATATTTTTTATTTTTATTTATTAATTTTTATTGTATTCCATTTTCTTATATTTTAGGTGTTAACATTTATGAAATATATTTATGTGTAATCACTGTTGTTTGTGCTGTTTTTATTATATTTTATTTTATTTTTTTTTTTATTTATTTATTTTGCTGCTTATATTTTATCCAGGTCATTTCCCCGGCTCATATACCTTTTTTTCATACAATTAATATGCAGCTTGTAAATTTTGTAAAAGAGAGTGACGCACATGATAACAACAATGATTATCAAGAGTATATGTACCCAATATAGATTGATGTTGCTAGATTCTACCTTGTTGATGACATTGGCAGTGGAATCCACTGTTTTTATGTCCAAAGTCATTTTGGTGGGTTTTGCATATACTTTTATTTTATGTGTATAAAGTGTTTTATTAAAATTATTATGATCTTCTATTGAAAATTTACTTATCGCATTACTGCGCATTTAAATTAACAAACTTCCTACCTAGTTTTTTTGCATAGCTTTACGGGCTACACATCTAATCGGGCAGAAAAGGTTCCGCTCAATTTTACAAAATATTATATTATTGAAAAAAAATATGCATCGTAGTGCAATCAAAAAAAATTATGCAACGCAGTGCATGGGTAGAAAAAAATTTTGCTTCCAGCTTGGTTGATTTCTCTTTCTTCCTTCTACGTCAACTGGTCGTCGCCGGTTTGGCTACGCTGACGCTCCTTCGAAGGCGCAGGTGGCGGTCGTGCCTCCCACGCTTGAAATCTGCTGCTGCTGTCCTGGGCCTATGGGCTCAGGCGGTACCGGTGCTGGTCTTCGGCTTCATGCATGCGGAATTGCATGCCGCAGAGTTGAGAGGTCCGGGGCAGTCGGTCGGGCAGACTTGTGGTCGTTTCGGCAGTGGCTTGGGAATATTTGGTTTTGTTATTAGTTTTTCATTTATTATTTGTATTTGGGTTGCTGAGTGAGTTGTGCCTTGTGGTACTCTATTTTGGAGGGTTTCCTTTAAAAATTCAAGCTCATTATAAAGTTTTTGCGCCGTCGTCCACGCGGGCGGTGTTGATTGAGCATATAGCAGCCACTTTATGCGGGCTATTCTTTTATTAATTTTATTCTTCTGACCTCCACGTACCATCACGCACACTCTACTCACTCAGACGTGTTTTTTGTGTATATCCTCCTTGTATCCTCATTGTATTATTAATCTTCCCGATTCGCTGCTCCTTGTGGTCCTGTCACGGTCGCCATGAAATAAGTTTATTTTGTTTGGTTCCAATTTGTATTTTTTTTATTTAGTAGGAGCAGCAAAGGTGCCGCTCCAACGATCAAAATGTCTCTGTTCTTTTACAATATTCTTTAAGTCTAATTAAGGCTAAGTCCCGTAGCTGCGCTGCTCGCAGGCGGCGGCAGAGAGACGGCTATGTACCTATATATTATATGTATTAAATTATGCTCTCTTAAGCTGGAGCGCGAGGGTATATGCATGCACTTGAGTTCGGCCGGCGCGTGTAACGGAATGCTGACACTTGCACTTTCTGTGAGCGCGCCGATCGACTCGTGTTCGGCCACTTGGGTTTTTTGACCGGGCCTTTATGAATGCACTGCAACAAAGTGTTACAGTGTGTTTACAGTAGATATTCAATATATGCGCATACTACACCATTACTTCGATCCATTTGCCGTTGTCATCTGGAGAATCTCCATCGTGTCCACTGATTGTTTCAGCCGTCAACGGACGGGGAAATCGTTTTGTGCAGTTTCCGTTATCCATGCAACAGATTCGTAATTTCGACTGATTGAAACGAATGAAATTGAAATGCTCCCTTTCTACTTTGACGTACATGTCGACACAGTACTGTTGAAATAAACAGCGGTATCTCAAAAGATGATTGTCAACATCTAGTCGAATCATCAATTGATACGCATAAAAATGCATAGAGCTGACCTTCTTATTCGTTTCTTCTCCTAAAATTTGAATTCAAACTTAGTTGTATTGTAGAATCAAAAAGAAGTGATGACTTGTAAACAAACCTGTCGTTGGATTGACCATCTTAATGTTGAAGTGATCTTCTCCACGACAGAACATCAACGGGTGTTGAACAATCACCACGGTGACTTTATTAATAGTGGGAGCACTAAATTGTCTTGCATGGCTTCCAGTGGCCCTTTTGTCAGCGCTGATGATGATTTTGTGGTCGTCAGAATGCATTGTATCCAATGCGGTTTTGAACAATCTGACCAATTCATTACGCTCATGCAGAAGATTTTGCAATTGTTGTATAATTTCAAGTTTAGTTGCAGTGAAATTGCACAACGCTGATTTAGTTCATCTTCCGAATCACCAATGAAGTAGATCTGAAGGAATTTATGATCTTTGTTTGGTGGTGGTAACAAAGCGCCCGCTCGATGGTGAATTTGCCCTTGAATCTGAATGTTGGGATGCAATTTTGAAAAAAATGAGATAATAAAGAGACGCCATTACCTTAAAATTCGGATTGTAGCTTGGTTGATGAACAACCTCGGCTCCAAATGACGTCATTTTAAAGCATCCGTTATATTTTTGTGCAAGCTTTAGGAAACTGTTTGATTGGGTTGAATTTCCATAGAATACAATGGCTCTGGTGGATGAGCCAAAACGGGCAATTTAATTTTGCCACCTGCACAGCATAAGTCGGGGGTTTCCAAGCTGTGCAATTCGGGCACCTCTTGCGTTCGATTATTACGGACATTCTGAGATTGCATTGCGTGAACGCCGTCCAAGTCTTGATCGAAAAAAATTTGAGCCAGATCGACCCAGCCGTTCTCTTGTTTTGCGATGGCGTACATTTTTGCACCATTTTTATATATATAGACAAGAAAGGAAAGCTAACTTCGGCTCCGCCCGAAGTTTAAATACCCTTCAGAATATTCTGTAAATTATATTCTCCACATGCATTCTTAACACTCATAAAAATCCCAACTTCCTAACTTTACCAAAGTTATGGCATTTCCAATCCTTCAGTTATATGGCTACAGTCGGCCGATCCTTATGAAATTTGGTAGCCCGGATTGATTGGCCTAAAATAGGATATAGTCGGCCGATCCTTATGAATTTTGGTAGGTCGGATTGATTGGAAAATCCCAACTTCCTAACTTAACAAAAACCAAAGTTATGGCATTTCCGATCAATCAGTTATATGGCGGAATATAGTCGGCCGATACTTATGAAATTTGGTAGGTCGGATTAATTGGCCAAATATAAAACCCATAGAAAATCCCACCTTCCTAACTTTACAAACACCAAAGTTATGGCATTTCCGATCAATCAGTTATATGACAGCTATAGGATATAGTCGGCCGATCGTTAAGAAATTTGGTAGGTCGGATTGATTGGAAAATCCCAACTTCCTAACTTATCAAACACCAAAGTTAGGGCATTTCCGATCAATCAGTTATATGGCGGCTATAGGATATAGTCGGTCGATCCTTATGAATTTTGGTAGCTCGGATTAATTGGCCAAATATAAAACCCATAAAAAATCCCAACTTCCTAACTTTCCAAACACCAATGGCATTTACGATCGTTCAGTTATTTGACAGCTATATAATAGAGTCGTCCGATCCCGGTCGTTCCGACTTATATACTGCGTGCAAAGGAAAGAAGGGTGTGTGCAAAGTTTCAATTCGATATCTTTAAAACTGAGAGACTAGTTCGCGTAGAAACAGAGAGACGGACAGACACACAGACGGACAGACGGACGGACGGACGGACAGACGGACAGTCGGCCATGCTTATATCAACTCAGGAGGTGATCCTGATCAAGAATATATATATACTTTATAGGGTCGGAAATGTCTCCTTTCACTGAAATTACAGTACCCTCTGCAAGGGTATAATAAATCTATTTCTCAAAAGTTGGCATTACCATTAAGGAAAAGTTCGAGGGGGTTGAATTTTATTGATTGATTTTATTGATGACTAGCTGTACCCGGCGCGACTTCGTTCGCTTAAAATTAGTTTTGAGTACGGTTGTCAAGACTTTCCCAATTCCACACCACCCCTGAGGTAGAGAAATTGGCTCGTTTTTTTTAATGTGGTATCTCCAATTAGACCTATTCCACTGAAACTTTCTAGGTTTAATAATGTTAATTAATATGATTACTTTAAAACCTCTGTGTAAACAAAATTTTTAGAATATCCTTCAGGAGCGAGAATAATAAGGCTACTGGCAGAGCTAACTCTAGAGCATGCGACATAAAATTGTCCGTGAGAGAAGCAATCTTCTCTAAGATCTAGTCCAGCCAGCTTCAAACTCTGCCCCTGCGATTTATTTATAGTTATTGCAAAGCAAACTTTTAGAGGGAATTGTAGCCTTTTAAACTGAAACGGCAGACTGGATGGTATTAATGGGATCCTGGATATAAACACTGTTTCCCCCTTCCTGCACCCCGTAAATACCTTTTATCTGCAATCGTGTCCCATTGCATAACTTTGGGGGACTTAAATTTCGCAATAACATTACGGGTGCTCCAATCCTAAGAGACAGATTATGCTGAGGAATTCCTGGAGGATTCAAGGAATTTA